TTGCTTGAACGTATACATGTGGTAGTCAACAAAAAGTAAGATCCTGTTAGTATTCATACATTGATCGACTTTAAAGTTGATTCCAATAATAGTTTAAAAGTTAAGTGGAATTAAATAAAAATAACAAACAAACCGACATGCAGAAAAGTAGCCATTTTAGACCCATGTTTTTAAATATGTTTTTTATTAACATAAAATACAAGTGGACAACATTTTTCCAGGGAGTTTTTATACACCCTGTATAATATACACACATAACAATTAACAGTTATAAACAATCTGGAAACCTCTATCTACTGAAGTTAGCAGTTGTCTCGCACGTGACTTAGAAAATATAAATAAACGTCACTAATGAAGTTTGCATTCAACGTTAAATGATTGCATTCTGTTACGGTTATGTAAACCAACCGTATTTACTATTAACCGCATTTATTAACTGTATTTTGCTAATGCAAAATAATTAATTAATGTGGCCACTGTTAAATGTTTATTTTAAAATATCTTACGGGTACTTTCCTGTTAAAGGGAACATTCATTATTATCGATCTGATTTCATTCGATATATCGATAATTTTGTTTTCCTTTACGATCCATACCTTCTGTTTTAATATCTTTAAACACATTTAAATTACAAATTGTCATCTGATCTTGTTTAGGCAAAACATAAATAAGTAAAACTGTTTTAAACTAACATAATATAACTAACCAAACTTGCTGGGTTTGCTGTATCATTTAAAATGTCGTTTGATAACAGAAAAGGCATGTGAGTAATATGAAACGGAATTTGGAAATTTTACAGCAAGTTTGGTTGGTTAGGTAAGGTTAGTTTGGAACATTTTCATTTCAATATAATACTAGTGTACCTGTTGCTCGAATTCGAGCAATTGCAAAGCATTACAGGCGTTATTTTAAAATAATTTCCGATGACTTTATAAGAGTCAACTCAAAGATTATAGAAATACTAAAGATGTACACAACAGTTAGATATAATTAAAATTTTTTGTAAATATCTTATCTTTTTTCAAAAGCTGACTTTGTTTTTTAGTGTTTTCTAGAAATAATCAAAACCCATTGCAAATACTTCATTTTGACAAATTTAGTAAATCACAATTTAAATATTAACAGCTGTTTCATTCAAAAGTAGTGTAAATGTATGCATATGGTCGCGATGTAAACAAATCTAAAGAGGGGACTTTAAAGGCCTCTGGGGCAGAGCCCCAAGGGAATTTACCTTGTTTCTCTTTTGATGCCTCATCTACAGACTAAGACCTTTCTTTAGAGACCCCTACCAAGTTTCTACGCCCAGCCGTTCTCTGAAATTAGCAGTGACAAAACCCCGTTTTTCCTCCATAAGAATAACATGGGATGGGAATTTAAAGGCCACTGGGGCAGAGCCCCAAGGGAATTTACCACATTTCTCTTTTGATGGCTCATCTACAGACCAAGACCTTTCTTTAGAGACCCCTACCGAGTTTCTACGCCCAGCCGTTCTCTCAAATTAGCTGTCACAAAGAAAAACAGTTTCAAATTAATATATAGATTTTTAAATTGTTTGTTGATACTGAACAATATTTACTTATCGTAGTTGTCAGCTGACATCTCGTTCATTATCGGATCAAAAATAGAATATCGATGTAGGGGGCCTATCGGAAAGAAATCATCGATAATAATGAATGTTCCCTTTAACAGGAAAGTACCATTTTACGCAATGCGGCCAAGGCCAAAATTAGTACAGCAGCTACTATGGTTGTACCAACTATTATATTAGTTTTCTGAATCTAACCATTTGAATCCCCAGTTAAATGTATGTAAATATTAAAACATATACATATTTTAAATAGCGTATCCTGGAAGATGTTATTACGGAATATGTACGTTTTCATTTTACGGAAAAGGCGGATACACTTAACAATCACACGTCCTTTCCACAAGAAACAGTGTGTCAAGAGTGCTTCCTGGCTCAAAAATTCAATACATTTCCTTTCTCAGTCAGAGGTGCATAACTGCATTCCTTTGAACACAGTCAGCATCCTGCCTGGTTTGTCCACCCCTAGCGGAAGCCACCCTCACGGTCACGTGGAATCTCTCTCTCTTCCATCCCCTCTCGCGCCAACCCCCAACCGTTGGCAAAACTCCGCAGTATGAGGAATTCGCGGATGGGGACCCTTTCTACCTGATACCCGTTGGCAAAACTCCTACACTCGATTTGCTTACAAACGTGATCGGAAATGGTTAAGGCCTACACAGTATTCTTAAAGATCATTATTATGTAAACATATCAGTGACAGCTAGGAAAAGGAATCTTTATCAAAACAGCTGTTCATAATTTCATACATGACGTGTTCTCTTAACAGATTATTAGTATTTCATAAATTAATGACGTATGTAGTAAACATGGAGAAAATAAACTAGAAAAATCACACAAAATTGTGTTTTTGATCGTCCGTTATTTTATTTTCAAAATAGTGAGGCCATATTTTAATAACTATAAGGACTCTCGCCAATCCTGTGGATACAATTAAACCATTGGAATCATAATCGGTACTCTAGTTTTCTTTAGAGTAGGCCATGAGTAGGCTGCATAAAATGCCTTCTGGGCCGTGACAGACGGACATAAATTGAGATAAGACATGTTTCAACTTCTTCAATGTATAAAACATAAATAACCCAAAATATGTATAATTCTGAGCAATGTTCAGACAAAACTATAACTTTATTGATATAGATTAACTGGGTTTGAATTTTAAATATCTAAAAAAAATTATAAACTTCTTTTATAGTTTTACAAATAGTGCTGGGCGGGGGAATAATGTTTCTAATTTATTTATAATTTCATTTATGGGGGGGGGCTGTTGCTCAATTGCGGGGGGGGGGGTGCGTCATGAGTCTAGGGGGGGATGGGCACCCCTGTTTATTTTAACGACAATCAGAAATCTCGGTCAAGTATAAGTACAAGTATTTATAATTTTCTAGCAGAATACCCACTCTTCGTACGGGGTTGGCGAATGTAACATATTATGCTTATTGCAGCTATAATCAAGCTCTGGGTTGCAATGGGGGAAGACGTGGTTTTGGAAAATTTGGTTCTTTAAATTTACGGTATGGTATGGCTAGGCTACACATCTACCATAATGTTTTACCACACTGTAGGCCTACCGGTACCTATAGAAAAAAGTAAATGATCGAACAAATAGCATTACAACTGCATACATCCCTTCCCTTTGTACTTTAAGATTTAACAGTCATTTTACTTTTGTTGTTTTACGGCACCAAAAAGGGAGTGAGGATGGGAGTGTTGGTTGAATTTGAATGAGATACATGACGTAATAGAGATTTGTTAGGCCGCCGGCCTGTCGGTATTGCCATAGTTATGTTCTATGATATATCTATGAAATATATGATCAAAAGGTTCTCTCTATGAGAACCATCGAAGTAAATACAACTTGATGAGGAGAAACATTATTATGATAGTTCAAAACTATTTTAATAGTTGGTCCTGACTGATATCAGACAGTTCAATAGCCACGATAATTATGAAAAACCCAATGATAAAGGACAGCTGGACCCAGGTTCGAACTATTGAAAATCTTTCAGCTTTCTCAGGATCGAACCGGTGGCCTTCCAATATATTAGACGCCGGTCATCACTGTACAAAAGTAGTCGAAAAGCTCTAAGTTGACCGTCAGTCTATAGTTTTCTTCTGCTCGTTCCAACAAACGTTGAGGGTTCATTTCATGTTGACCTTGCTCCAAAACGCGGCGTTTAGTCTCGCGGTCAGCAGATGGGCATAAATGGACAATGGGGGCGATTATCCCGTATCCCGCGTGACGTCACATCCGCCATCTTGGATTCCTTGGCCTCGACAGGCGATGTCCTGTACCCGTACCGACCGACGTCTACACTGTCTGTGTAGTAGTGTGAGTGTGTCTACTCTACATCTCAACGCCTCAGTCTGACCGTCTAGGCTCTCTGTTTATCAAAGTTTATGTCGTCATTGACAGTTTATCTTAGATCACAAATCAATAGTACCTTTTTTACTTATTTAAATCAAAATACCTAAGTAGGCCTAATATTTCAATCAATAACTTACACGCAAATATAATAGTAATTTTTACTTAGCTATTCCAATGCTATTCTGCTTCGACACTTTATTGCATTTTTAATTAGGGAATTTTTGTCTGTAAAATTTGCAGATTTAAAATCTGATTCCTGTTTTTAAATAATTTTTTTACGCCCAGAAAATGTTGTGTTGGCTGTGTTGCCAAACTGACTGAAAATCACAAGTCATGTTATGAGACGGGCATATCAATAAAGTTGGACTTCACCTTTATCTATATAATACCATATATACCTGCGAATGATGTTTCTGATTTACTTGCAGAGAGGTGGTTATAATGTATGAACCAATAATATTGGTTCCTACATATTGGGAAAATATTTATGTGATTATTACAGTATGATGGGGACAACGTTTTTCCGGTCTTTCGTGTTTATGAGCTCATTATTAACATGACGTGTTAGTTTTTACACCTCGATTGTTTCTTCTTATCTGACTAATAATTTTCTCAATATTTAGTGATTATTTAGGAATAGGTAATCCAAATTTATTGCTCTCAATCAAATCAAGACAATACATCAAAATTGTATTCGCCGAGTGTGAACACGTAAAATAATAAAGCAATAAAATCTTTTTTGCTAGAAACACTACATATATACTTTAATAAAACCCCGCTCAAATATAGAATTATTAGGATAAATTTCAATCCTACTTAAGTGTGACAAAGTGATAAAAACTTAGGGAAATACATTTTCTAAGAAGGTGTATATTAATGCAGCGAAGCAAACTCATTGTGAATTCCTGGTCTAAGATAAGATTTAAAAGTCATCAGTCAAAATAGTTGGTAGTGTAACTAAACTACTCGAAGTTGTCAACATGTTGTCAATGCATTAGGTACAGTAGTTGAGATAGTAGCCACCAGTGGCGCACTGATAGTTTCTCAGTCGTTTCTCCTGTAACTGAACTTTTCTGCTTTCTCCGGGATTTTCTCCAACTTAAATCATTTACAGGTAATTTTTTTGTATTTAATATACTTGCAGCTTTTGGTATACTCATCAAATTAGTTTTGTATCGATATTTTAAAATTTTTAAACCTTGCACAACATCCAATATGGCGGACAAACCCAAGTGCATTCAGTTATAATTAGGTCGTGCTCAAGGTCTATGTCAGATGGAATCGACCGGCCATTTATATTCTGTGCTCGCTGGGCCATTCACATTCACATTGTATTTATATTTCCTCTGGAATGAATACAAATTTAAATAGTTGTACAGTATCACAATTAATAATAAGTAGAAAATCACTACTGTTAGTTATAGTCGCTTTTTCTGTTGTATTTTGTAGTATTTTACTATAAGAAAAAAAATTAAGCACGTATTTTAATGTGGAGAATTCTTCATGTTCATAATCTTCTTATTAATCCTGATGAAATTCTTAAAATTCAAATGAATATTCCTTATATTTGTAAAAGTCTATTCCTATTTATACCACATTGTCCACATTCGTACATAGTTTTATTGTTAAATAATAAATTTTACTGGCAGGGGTTGCCCAAGAAGAGAGTATGGGGAGCCCCCAAATCATCTTGAAAAGTGTAAGAATTGGGAATTTTTTTAAATATATGAAGCTAGGGATTTTTGGAAGTTTTAAACCCTTTTAGAGAAATTTCTTTCATAACTGCGCAGGAAGATTCGTATCCACTGTGCACTGAGTGTTTATTAAAAATATTATTTGAAGAGGCTGTTAACTTAACTGTTAACTGATCAATGGATCAGTACAGTATAGTGACAGTCAACTCAATAATGTGTGAGAGACGTTCGTTTCTTGTTATTTGTTTATGTCAGCTATTATAAATAGGTAATCACTGCAAAAGCTCAATGTTAAAACCTTAATATTAAAATAGTTGGAAAATCTAAGTAATATAGTTGGCAAATCCGTGTAATATAGTTGGGAAATACAATTCCCCCCCCCCCAACATTTTTTCACCCTATTTACCGGGACCTTGTGTCTTCCATTTAAAATATAGGTAACTTATAGAAAAATATTGGTTTGTTCATTCAAATCGTATTACTTTATAAAAACATCTCTAAAACAAAATCACTGAACTCTCTTTGAGCCTACAAGTTGATTTTGGAGAGATTTGCCATTCTAATTTATATAAATGTTGCTAAAGGAGATAACACTGATTCACGACTATGCAACGTTATCTCTTTCATTCTTTAGGCTGTGTCTTCAGACTCCCTTGCAATGCTGCTCGTATGATAATTCAAATATATTTCGGATAAAAACTTTATTTACAGTACTCCGTCAGGGGTTTTTAGGTTTGGGAACGGTCCAAATCATTTCATTGTTACTATCAAACGAACTAGCGACCTTCAAATGTTGAGGCTTGCATTATAAACCAGCTATCCAGCTAATTTATACAACTACTATAACGTAAAATATTTGACTAATTTTGAAGTTTCTAAATCAATACGCACACAAAGACATTCCACTTGAAAATACAAAATACATAAACAGAATGTGTACGTGTCGCACGTGACGTGTCGCTTCCGTGACGTGTCGTCTGTCGCGTCAAAATAACATGTCGCAGCACCGACGTCTGGAGTATTTATACCACTTGCATCCGACGTTTAAAAATATCCCCTTCACACTAACAGCTGTTAATCTCTCGCTTTTAAAACAATGGAAAACACATTGTTGGGAACGCAGGACAACTTCGTCTCCGTGTCTGCTTATTCATCTTTGTCCGACCAAAAGATAATTGAAAATATCAGTCTATGTCAAGAGTTTGTGTCCAATTTCTTAGTAAAGAAATAGATGAACTGATCTGTATATGCAATTGACATTTGAATTCAATGCTGTAGCCATTTTTTTAGAATTTCCTTTATATAGGGAATACGTTATTACCGTAGGTCTCATGGTGAGACCTGGACCCGGGACAGAAACTATATTATAAGATTTTGAACGGACGGTGTTTTTTACCTCTTGGGACATCAAAACCAACAATTAAATCGGCCGTGGGTCCTGGTCTAAAACCAGCAGGATCGGACTATTGGAACATTGTTTTGTTTTAAGGGTAAAAAATGGGGTTTTCTCATTTTCTGTTCCCAAAATAAATTTCCCAATTTCTCTCAAAACTATTTTGTATCGGTTACTCCCACCGCTTACCCATAAAAATAGTTGTTGACAAGCTAAAGGGGAAAGTATGTATCAGTTTTCCGATAAAGTTTATTCACTGATTTATTGACAAGCTAATTGTTTGCCAGATTTATTTCAGTGACGTAGCCAGGGGGGGGGTCCTGGGGGTCCGGACCCCCCCCTTCTGGTCTTAAATATAATATTTTTTGTTAAATTAAATGTAGAATTATATAATCGTACTGTATTGACGTTGGGGTTGATTATTTTCAATGCCAAGATAGCCAAAAAACACCGTTTTAGGGTCTATATTTTTAAAACTTTTCCCGGACCCCCCCCCTTTACCCGGACTCCCCGGTCGGTCGACCCCCCCTATTTTGAAATCCTGGCTACGTTACTGTTTATTTGCTACGACAACAGCTCTTCGTATTAATGGTTATAGCGCAAAGGGCGAATCTGCAATCAATATTTCCTTGAGATATCAGATTGTAAACATCGCAAAAGGCAGCTTTGCATAACCATGGAAAGGTTAGTTGGAGGGTATTTATCCTTAAAGTTTATCCACTTTTAAGTGTTCGTTTTTTATGTAAATTCAAGTAAACACATTTATAAAACAACAGTTCTCTAATTAGATTAGATAATTAGATAATTCTCTGTCTCTAATTAGAAAATCGATCCATTTACAACTGACTTTGTCGTCGTCTTACATCTTTTGTCAGATCGACTAACACGGCAATAAAATGCGATGAGAGAAAATATAATTTTAGTCCTAAACTGTGTGAAAGGCTGATTCAACGATGTTAGTTTTCAACAAACACGCTACAGATAATCCATATCAATATTATTGAGAAGGGGGCGCCCTCTAGGTGCGTATTTAAACCTAAATGAGTGAAGGATGAGTGTAGAATGGTGTGAAATGATCTGTGTAGCTTTGTTACTGACTATGATCAGCTGTTTCGTTAGCAAGGATCATTTATTTAAATCCCAATGATCAGGAACAGCTGCATATATGATGTCTGCTTCATTAAAGTCAAACATTTAACATCTGGAATGTATTTTTGTTGACGCCAGTGATCAGCTGTAGCTGCACCGTCACATCACCATTCAAGGCAGTGGCCCACTCTCATGAGTTTCTCCACGCCATGTAGGGCAGCTTGTACACACTGCAGTGTTGCCACCACGTTGTTGCGATTTTACCCTAAAGGCGGGCTAAAATTACCCTAAATTACCCTAAATCTACTTTGAGTTACCCTAAAAATTACCCTAAATGTTAATATTTGCGTTTAATGCTATAAAACATTGTTAAAATCATATAAATCTTACATAAGGTGGTTAATTATACTAAATAAAGTTCCAATATCAATCAATTTACGTAAAATTATACTCGCTTCTAAAAAACCACCCGAAAGAAGAACAAAATGTTGATATTGATCAGCTCTATCGACTATCGATAACGAAAAATATCGAATCAAGAACTATCGTATTTTTTTTACTGTATCGACCCATTACCGGTACTACTGTTTTTGGACAATCATATCTTTAAAATAGTACGGTACCACCAAAACCAAAGCTTTAATCTGTACATAGTAGTAATTTCTTGACACAATTTGTAAAATAATCCAGTTAAATTCAATTCAATCACATAATTAAATATCAAACCCAGTAATGAATAATATTTCATATTTTATTATGCCCATAACGGCTATAACGTGTTATAGAATCGAATACATTCTAAAACAGATAATTCCCAACTATTGATAAGATCGATTAGGATAACTTATTATTACCGGTATGAAAAATTCATCATAGCAATCGATTTAAACCGGTTAAATCGAATATGATGGTTTGGCCGTAGTATGTAATGAGCGTTTTTTGCCAAATTTCGAAGTTTTTTTCATTTTTTAGTAAAATTTCCATTGTTACGCTAACTTTTAGTTTTACCCTAAAATTACCCTAAATCTACCATTACCCTAAACTTTACCCTAAGACCAGTAAATTACCCTAAAAAAGGGTAATTACCCTAAAAGTGGCAACACTGCACACTGCCTACTGCCTTCTTGCGACTTGCACTGGCAACTGAGGCCAAAACTGTAGCCTTGTCGATCTAGCTTTGACAAAACATTCAGACAAATTTCACTTCTACCTTGGTGCAATTATACAGGGTGTAACGCAACCTAAAATTACAAGTACTGCGAGACACTTTTTCTCGAAAAAAACAAGCTCACATGTTGGTATCCCTGTTTTCTTTGTTGCCAATCAGCTGATTTGCATTGTTGCATAGTTTTCTTTGAGTTTTATTGCCATTGGAAATTAATTGTGGTGAATAAGACTCAACATGATAGTTAGACCAATTCGTTAATTACAAGGAAAAAAAGGTGGTTCGGATTCCACTATAAACTGTAGGTCCCTTAGTTGCCATTAGCTGAATGGGCTATTAATTAACAGCTGTGTCTAAGGAATATGTCGGCCTTAGTCACTAACAAGACTACAAGATCGCGCCACTCATCCTACACACTCATCCTTCACTCATATTTGGGTTAAAATACGCACATAGTGGCGTCCCCATCTTAAAATAATTGATAATTGATGGTGTTTTTGCAAGCTCGAAGAATATGTGTGTACATCAAAAGTGAATAATTGGTTCTGTGCCAAGGAACGTTTAAGATTAGGTTTCCAGGTGTGATGGAATTGTCAAAAATGTAAGGAAATCGGAACCGTAGAAAACCAATCAAACGTAAACCTACAGTAATCTCGAAACGGCACACGGAAGATTTCTCAGGTGCCGTTTGACGTCACTAACTGCTGATGTCACTTTGAGGGAACACCAATACCGCAACGATACGGTATGAGCCATCGGCCTCGGTGGTGTAGTGGATAGCGTGTCGGGCTGATAATCCTATTTTACCGGGTTCGAATCCCGCTGGTAGCATTGACTTTTTGACAACAATTTTTTCATATCAGCAAGTTTGGTTAGTTTGGTTAGGTTATGACGGTTTAATTTTATAATTAAAAAATTATAAAATTCAATTTTAGGCATTTATAATTTTATTTTATGAACAAAACTATTTTTTAGATTAGTAAACCTTTATTCGATTTTTCCATTATCGGCACGTTTGGTTAGTTTGGTTAGGTTATGACAGTTTAATTTAATATAGAAAAATTATAAAATTGTCTGTTTCTTCAGACGCAGCAGTTAGTGACGTCAGCAGTTAGTGACGTCAAACGGTACCTGAGAAATCTTCCGTGTGCCCCACCGCAGTAATCTTATTAAATTTACCATGTTGAGTAAACTCATTGATGACTATACAACAATGCATATCAGCTGATTAGCATTGTAAAGAAAACAGGCCTACCAAAATACAAGCTTGTTTTGTCGAAATTTACTTGTTAATAAAGCGCTAAAAATAATCAAGTATGTCTAATCAAAACCGTAACTCTAACTGTATAAAATGCAAGATAATCAATTCATTTAGGAGCTTTAACTATTTTTAGAACGTTAAACTTTATACCAAACCAAGTTTATGTCATCTGTAATTTTCCAAAGTCTGTTTATAACATCAGCCATTAAGTTAATGCACACAAACTATTATTATTCGTTGTTTAACTAAACAGATTGTAAATAAAAACAAAACCAGGATAACCTATATGTTGACCTTTTGACAAGTAACGAAAAAACTACAACTGTGAAGTTCGGTATAGATAGAGTAAAACGTTGCTTATGGCGAGATCATAGTGAATAACTATAAACTACCCTTTCTAGTGAATAACTGAACGAAAACTCACGGACTACCGGTACCTATTCTTTTATCTGTGTGATTTAGTTATTATGTAACCTTTAGCTCAGAGGAATTTGAGGTAATTTAATTAACGATTAGACATTTTATAGTTAACTGTTACAGTGTTAAATAGCATCAAGGTTAAATAGAATTCGAATTGTTTGGTGTGAAATTTATACGCAGGAAGTTGGGTAAATGATATATGCAGAAGTTTAGACAAAAATTGACGTTTTGACGAAATCCACCAATCACATATATAGGCCTAGCAAGTCCCAGAATCTAGTAACAAAAGTTGTAATACAGTATTTCAATGGGAATGGGAGGAGTATCATTTATGAAGTTTTGCTCCTCGCAGAAGGAGGAGTAGGTGTGTGGTTACCTATAGCAAGTGCAGGGAATTTCAGCCCGCACTAAAGCAGCAATAATTGTTTAACTTATCATTAGGTGATTTTGAGCCTCAAGCCTCGTAGATAGGGAGGGCCAACACATCTGGCATGATTTCGAAGGAATACAATCCCATGCCATTGCCACCTTGCCAGCGTCCGGCAATTTATGTAATATAACTAACTACTTAGAAAACTAACCTAAATGCTAATATAAGGAAGTGTAATGTCTAAATCTTCTTTAGAAAAATCATCGCGTACTCGTGTATTTGAGGCTCAAAATCACTGCACTGGGGCTTTGAAGCTCAAAATCACCGCGAAACTTTAGATTCAAAATCGTTTCCCACATGAGTTTAATGCTCAAAATCAGTGTGCCCACCTGGCGATGTAGAGCTGAGTAACCTCTATGGCTGTCTTCATCTGAGGGTGTACTGTAGGAGGATAGGCTATGTTGTAGGCCGCAGACTAGCAAGGAAATGCGTGGGTCTAAGGACTCGAGTAGGCGACGCCGCTTCCTTTCGAAGGACACTTTGATTTAGTTCCAACACCAACGCGAGAGTGACCAAAAGCACTGTACAGGTTTTCAAATGTATTAGCTAGTTGTGAGATTTTCTTTTACTTGTTAATATAGAAGGCATTGTTGTGCGTAACGTCAATAGTTGGCATTGTAGTTTTGTTTGCAGTCAGTAAAAACCTAACCAATGAATTTGTTGAGCCTGAGAGGTCTTTTGTAAAGGGTCACCATTCATTGTTAAAAATTTTTAACTGCAAACAAAGATTAGGGGTAAACTAACCTAACCACACCTATCCTAACCTGACCTAACCTAACCTTGCCCAATTTGCTTTGGGCAAAGTTTAATATTGGCAGCCCTCTTCTTGAAAATACCCACCTTTATTGCACTATTTGTACAACGCAAATTTACCAATGGGTGAAGGGGAGATGTCTGATATACCGGAGGCCATGTGTACAGCCCAATTATTTATGCTGTTAATTAAACGAATATTAATTAGCGTTCAAGTTGGCCGCGGAAGTAGTGCGGAACCTTGACTAATTATCCAAGTTCATCGTCCATCGCTACCAGACCGAGGCTTCAATAGCTTACTACATAGGCAGGCGATTGATAAATCATCGCGTCCCCAACTCAATGATTGATAATTGATTAAACGAAAATTATAATGTTTAATCAAGCACACAGCCTTCTTCAGAAAAAGTTGATCTTAGGTCTGTTCAAGAGGTCACTATTAAAATTTGTTCGACGAAAATACCGATGAAAATTAGGTTAGGTTTAGGTTATATTATATATTTTGGGAAGGGGCTTGCTCTAGATCCAGACACAGTTTATAGAGTATGTTTGATATCTCATACCGGTATCTGATGGGAGGGGACACAGGTTTTGGTAAGGTAAGGTTCATTCCCTTACGAATTGTAAGTACAGTATAACAATACATTTTTGTTTTATTACGTGTATATACGGTAGGCTAACTAATTCTCATTTATATCAACTCCATTTGTATAAAGCAAATTTTAATAGATTCAATTATTAAAAACCCTATGTTTAGGTAATTTACTCTAGTTTGCTTGGCAAGAAAGTCCTCACATTAGGAGTTACTTTTCAGTACACACCTAAAAGAAACACACTACCTACAACAACAAGTTTCAAGTTTTACTACTCATAGTCACAATAGACATTTTGATTCACGGGATTCACGTTATAGGCCTACTAATATAACTCGAAACCACGATTAGTCACAATTAGCGCATCCAATGAATCATATTTGTGATCATATTCAAGGTCTTAACTATTGTCTCTGCCTGAGTTTATACGTACAATAGTAGTTTTACTTGAATTCACTAAAACATCACTAATTGTAACGATAACCCCATTTTCGTATGGATGTAAACAAAATTGCATCATGGTCATCCGTTTTGTTTTTTGTAAACCAAATTAATATTGTAAACTTGAAAAAGTTCAGATGATTAACAACAGTATTCAGCACAAACTCTGAAATTTTAAAACCCTATAGGACGAAGGGCTTTCACGGGATATAATCCAAACCCGCAAAAGGTACATCTAGAGCTTTAAATTGATAACGAATATGCCTATACAAATAAATATTCAGTGGTCAATTTGCTACAATACAAAAATCCATCAAAATTATTTGAATAGTATAGATGTGAGGGAGGTAATTAAATGTTTAACAATGATTTGACGATATTTAGTGAATCTTTGTAGATAATTTGTTGAGTTCTGAGCCTGAATAGTTCTGTGGAATGCTCTAAATATGTATGGGTATGAACTATGAGTAGATTTCGTGTCTATGGCAACATAGTACCATACTACCACATACTATAGTATAAGACTGTAGTCTGTACAGACTATAGTCAATGATAATATGTGTTTACTCTGTCTGTATATGTCTTGAGATACTACTGTAGTTTCATTTTCTGTTGGCAAATGGCGATGTATACAGCCGAGTGGCAATAGTGTTTTCCTTCAAAATAAAGGTAGCTAGGTCAACTCCAAACAAATGACGTCTTAAAAAATGTTTAAGTTTAACTTACAAGACTAGGGTTTGAACCGTTCCCAGAAAAAATGTAAACAATTTCAATAGCGTTGAAACACAAATGACAAGTGCAAAATGAGAGCGTCACATCTCAGACGAGCGAAGAGGGGTGGCTAAACTTACGAATAGTCGAATACAGTACAACGAAAACTGTAAAGAAAATCTAGAATTAGTAGACTGTCATTTTGTCGTTCAAGCTGATTTTAAGCGCTTTCAGTGCCAATGATACTTTTGCTAGATTTGTAGTAATTTTAGTCAACCTCTCCGTAATTTCTCCCGTCATCCGACAGAGATTTCTGCGTCTTCTCTGCATTTCTCCCGTAGACGTTTGACCTTCGCATCTGCGCGCCACTTTTGCTCCTTTCCCCGTCACAACTGAATGCTCTCGGTTAAAATCTCATCCCATCAGTGACTTTCACACACGAGTATCTATTGTTTCTTATATCACGCAACTTTCTAAAGATTTATGTGATGGGCTTAGCTAGAGTTGTATGTGTTTTGACACAAAAATAATTATTAAGTATAAGAATACGTTCTGCTACAGAGTCTTCATATAAACAATTTTCATTATCTTATCTGAAGAATTGTTAGCCCCCCCCCCCTTATTCCGGTGATTGTGTATGTAAATTCCATTATAAATAGGCCTACATTGACCCAGAGATTGAAACTGTAATCTTTGAATTTTATGTGTTTATCGTATGGTATAGTGTAAACTAACAAATAAACCTTATTGAAATAGATTTACTTGTTGAAGTGTGGCTTTGTGAAATCATTTTAATGTATTGATCATATCTCGTCACAGGGTGTTGGTTAGTCATGAATAATCAATTGTATCTCTAAGACTCCCTAATTAGAAGCAGTTTGATTGTTAGTGAAAAATGCATTAAGATGATTTCGACATGAATATCAACGATAAATAGAATTCTAACACTTAGAACCAAAGCTTTTCCAATATAAAACCGACTAAATATTTAGAAATGCTTTATATATATATCAAGTGTTTTAAATCGTGACACCCATTCGCTTTTAAAACACAAACCTAATATTCCATTTACAAAACTAAGTGTTAGATATTACATTACGTAAACGCTCGAGATAACTATGATATCATTAATTGTGAATGTTAATTTTCAGATAGAGAGCTCGACCAGATAACAGGGTGATAAGATCCAGCGATGGCTGCGCGGAGAATATTCAGTTTCTCGACACATCTCAACATGGCGCAGATGTCCTCAACTCCGTTGTCGTGCAAGCTGTTGGTATGTGGCGGGGGCGCTGGAGGTTGCAGCATTGCCGCCAAGTTCGCCTCCAAGTTGGGCCCCGGGGGATGTGTGGTGGTTGAGCCCAGCGACACTCACTACTACCAGCCCATGTGGACTTTGGTGGGTGGAGGACTCAAGAGTCTAGACCAGAGTGCCAGACCCATGGCCAACGTGCTGCCCTCCAAGGCCACATGGATCAAAGACTCTGTAGCAGAATTCCGTCCCGACGACAACAAAGTCGTCACGTCCAACGGCACAGAGATCAAATACGACTTTATGGTTGTCGCGTTGGGTTTGGAATTACGGTACGACGCTATCCCAGGGCTTCAAGAAGCATTATCGATCGAAGACAGCGGCGTGTGTTCCAACTACAGTCCCCAGTATGTGAACAGGACATTGAAATGTGTTCAAGACTTTCAAAAAGGCAACGCTATCTTTACGTTCCCCAATACGCCCATCAAGTGTGCCGGAGCTCCGCAGAAAGCTGCGTACGTTTCTGACGCGTTGTTCAGAAAACTGGGGAAAAGAGAGAACGCTAAAGTGAAATACAATACTTCCTTGCCGAATATTTTCGGGGTGAAAAAGTACGCGGACAGACTGTGGGAGGTGTGCAAAAAGAGAGACATTGACGTCGGCCTTCGCACTGAGCTCATCGAAGTTAAACCTAACTCGAGAGAAGCTGTGTTCAAAAACATCGACAACCCTTCTGACGTGAAGACGGAGAGTTTTGAAATGCTTCATGTCACTCCTCCCATGAGTGCCCCAGCTGTGCTGAAGAAGACGCCTGAACTGACAGACGCCGCGGGGTACCTGGCAGTAGACAAGGAAACTCTCCAGCATATCAGGTACAAGAATATCTTCGGCATAGGGGATTGTACGAATCTTCCTACGTCCAAAACAGCCGCTGCAGTCGCTGGCCAAAATGGTGTCTTGGGAAAAAATCTGGCTGACGTCATGGAAAACAAAGAACCGACCAAGAAATACGATGGATACACTTCTTGTCCGCTGGTGACTGACGTCAACAAGTGTATATTGGCGGAGTTTGACTACAATCTTCAACCTTTAGAGACTTTCCCCATCGACCAAGGCGTGGAGAGGTATACCTCGTTTTGGCTCAAGAAGGAAGTGATGCCGCTGATTTACTGGCACGGTCTGCTGAAAGGATACTGGAACGGCCCGGGATTCTTCAGAAGCTTGTTGCATTTAGGATTTAAGTAATCGAAAACGTACTTGATGATTTTGATGTACAGTGTAATTGATCATGGTGCTATGTGTAAATATTGTAAAATTAAATTAAAACTATACATGGTTTATGTTATTACAAATATATATTATTGTTAAAGATACGTTTGACTAATCGTTTATCATTTAATTCCATAACACTAAGAGTAAACAAATATTGGTGTATGAATCTCATTCAAACTGGGACTCTTTCACAAGCTTGAACATAATTAAATATCCTAGACTATGCTTAAGTAGTTATGAATATTCAGTACTGTATTAGAATATTGCCTTATTTTCTAGTTGCTACTGAGAGTGGCAACACCAAAAGTCGCTGTAATTAACAGAGTATAATCGCTGTTACCTTTCAACCTCAAGGTGTACAAGAATACACATTTATTTACATTTTTGTAAGGGCCCATTCCGAACTTGTTCTCGTCTATTAATTATTACCACAGATTAAAATCGTTTGCAATACGGAGGAAAATTCAGACTATTTATCTGTACATTGATTCGTTCAACTGACTAATCTATTATCCAACTCTCTTCATTGGTGATGAATAATCGACAGATTTATTTCTATTGAGAAAATACCACTTTTGCTCCTGCTGTCCACAGAACCACGAAAGGTGACAAGGTAAGAACGTCATAGTTGACGAGATATGTCAAATAAACCTTGAATCCACAATCCAATCTTCTCTGGATCTACTTTATTATCATGGTCCCACTTTTTATGTTACATTTTTACAACAGTCGATTCAAAAATATAACACTAATCTACGTACAAAATCATAATATCATAAATAACTAAATTATTAAAGACAAAACCTTACTGTTAGCGTTGACTATTAATGCAGTATCCATAGTCAATGCTGTTATTTAAGGCTATATCTTTCTTAAAGTCTGTGTTATAAACAAAAACAGATTCATGTGTTTGTGTCAAACGATTTGTTTGCAAATTCAAGTTTAGTTTGTCACGTCAAGTTTGGATCAAAACAATGAAAAATTCGTAGTCAAAGTAATTTCACCTGCAGATCACATTCAAGATATGATCAATGACACAATCTCAGATGACCATCAACATGATACACAGAAGGGTGGTATGGGGGTTACTCGGTGTGAGGAGTGTATCCTCGTCTATCCATGAAGGGGTGTCGTGCAAGCTGCTGGTTTGTGGCGGGGGCGCGGGAGGTTGCAGCATTGCCGCCAAATTCGCCTCCAAGTTGGGCCCCGAGGGGTGTGTGGTGGTTGAGCCCAGCGACACTCATTACTACCAGCCCATGTGGACTTTGGTGGGTGGAGGACTCAAGAGTCTAGACCAGAGTGCCCGACCCATGGCCAACGTTCTGCCCGCCAAGGCCACCTGGATCAAAGACTCCGTTGCCTACTTCCGACCCGAGGAAAACAAGATCGTAACATCCTCTGGAACTACAATCAAGTACGACTTCATGGTAGTCGCTTTGGGTTTGGACACTCACTTCGAAGCAATTCCTGGACTAAAAACAGCTTTGGAAATCCCAGAAAGTGGAGTGTGCTCAAACTACCATCCTAAATATGCTGAAAAGACTTTCAAATGTGTGAAGAACTTTCAAAGCGGCAACGCTCTTTTCACCTACCCCAACTCCCCCGTGAAGTGCGGGGGCGCACCCCAAAAGATTTGTTACTTGACAGACGCGTTGCTGAGGAAAGATGGAAAACGTGAACGAGCAAAACTCAAATACATCACATCTCTGGATTCTCTCTTCAGTGTCAAGAAATACGCTGACAAACTCGAGGAAATGTGTAAAAGACGAGATATAGAAATAGTACTTCGGTCAGAACTGATCGAAATCAGACCTGATTCTAAAGAGGCTGTGTTTAGAAACATAGACTTGCCATATCCCTCAGATGTAGAGATAGTTGAGTTTGAAATGCTTCATGCTGTTCCACCCATGAGCGCTCCTGCAGTCTTGAAAAAGACGCCTCAATTAACTGATGGGGAGGGATTTCTTTCAATCGATAAAGAAACTCTAAGACACATCAAGTTCAAAAATATTTTCGGAGTAGGAGATTGCACGAATCTTCCAACTGCCAAGACTGCAGCTGCAGTGAGTGTTCAAGTCGGTGTTTTGGGAAGAAATCTTGCGGCAGTTATGAAAAACAAAGAACCTACGTCCAAGTATAACGGATACTCATCTTGTCCTTTGGTCACAAGTCTGAATAGAGGGATTCTAGCCGAGTTTGACTACGATTCGCAGCCTTTGGAATCATTTCCTTTCGACCAAGGGAAAGAGCGTTACATGTCATTTCTGCTGAAAAAAGATATAATGCCGATGTTATACTGGCATGGCTTGTTGAAAGGACGATGGAACGGCCCTGGTACAATGCGTACTATCCTGCATTTGGGGTTCAAATAGGCTTTAGCAGACTTGAACAGTCAGCCCGTCTGTAAATGAACACACATAAATATGTTGATGGTCTCGAATGAAACGTTAGCTAATTGATCTATAGGTGAATAAAGATAGTAATAAAAATTGTGCCAGCATTTTGTGTCATAGAAATATTCCAGGGTATTTTCAAGAAGACGGCCATCATTCTTTTACAGTACAGTACACGCTACGACTGTTAAGTAAGGTTATGTAAGGTTGATTAGGTTATGAAAGGTTAGGTTAGGTTGTGCTTGGTCACTTATTTTACTTGATAGGCCTGATGACAATCAAAGTAAGCTTTACAAATACGTACACAGCTTGTGATATTGTGTAATTGTAAATAGTTACTAACAAAATTTACAAAGACATCAATGTGTATTCGTTTCGACCCTTTTGTGTTCAGAAAAAGGTTAGTTTTGTAAATGTTACCTTGTTTGTCATTATGATTCGCAAAACCAAACTTAGCATAACTTGTAGTTTGTATGATGGAACCTCTGTCACCTGACTCGTCTACCTGGAAGTGGGAGTTGTCCGGTTCTTAAACCATTATAGCCGGTCCCAGTCCAAGGCGAAACGAAGGAACCGGAGACAGGTTCCATCCCACAGACTAGCCCAAATGCCTCAGAGCTTTTTTAAAGATTGACGAACCTCTTCTTGGAAAGAACCATCTTCCAGGTATTTTCAAATTTGACTCCGATACTCAATCGATTTTCTGACAAATTGGACGGTTTTGGTGTTTTATTGAGCACTATTCGCAGCCTTTGAATGGTTTGGAAGCGTATTAAACACCATGTACATTGTTAGTCAGTAAAGTTGATCAGTAAGATTGATCAGTCACTTCCACCCCTAGCAGGTGCATGATGGGATTGGTGGCTGTGTCTGGCATTAGATTACACGAGACTTCCGGAATAGCTGTCACGTGACCGGAACTGGCTGTCATACCGGATATAGAATGTTAGCCCATCTATGAAACATACGAGGAAGTGGCTGTACTTGGTACGAGAGCGCCGTGCAGAATTAATATTGAAGTTAATTAACTTTAATTAATACAATATGATAGGACAAAATAACATGGATTAATTTGTTTAGTCAATCTTTCAAGATCGTAGTAAAGATCTAAAAGTGGATTATTTATTCGTGTTTACATTCTACTTTTATACTGTATATTGGAATAACGAGACCCTCATCCTCGATAACAAGCCGCCCTTGATAACAAGTGTAATTTTCAAATAGTCCCATTGATATTATATTGTCCTCGATAACATGTAATAGCAAACCTCGATAAGAATTTAACCTGGATAACACGTCTTTTTTATATTGATACCCCCCCATTGTGAGAGGATTTTTACAGTATCGAAGTTTATATGAATTTTCTTCTCTCGCCAGAAAGAGTACAGTAAGAAGTGGCAACAACTAATTCACTCAAAATAACTCAACTCGTACCTAACTAATTTACGATTGACTACGTACATTTTACTTTGATTGACTTAGCTAATTTGTCAGACGCATTGTTACTTTTATTTTTCAATAGTCTGTAACATCGGTAATTCAAAACCTAAATAATAGTTTCAATACAATAATTTCAATTTTATACAAAAATACAATACACAATTCGTTAACAGTAACAACCGTTATTTTTCGAATAAATGCACTAACATATTAACTGTACTTTACTGTAAAGAAAATATATAAATTAGTTTATATATCGTGCACCAGCAAGCAGATGTCAAAGATATAGAAATCTTTAACGTTTTATCAATACAACTCAATCCGTGGCAGTGGATGGGGATAGGGCGGAGGACATGAAATCAGTGGCGGCTCTAGGACCTTGTCTAGGGAGGGACTCCGGGGGGTTTGGGGGGTGTGGAGCACCCCCCAACATAAGAGGGGGGTCCGGGGGAAAAATTTTTAAAATTTTAAAGCCGTTTGGTGACTTTTTAAAGCAATTTTAACGCCTAAAACTGTGTCCAATAATAGTCCAAAAACTCCCATTTCACCTGTTGTTTGTCATGCATGAGCAAATAGACATAAGTAGAGTAAAGTAAAGTATATTTTTTAAATAGTTTTTACCAATTTATTTAATAGATCAGATTTATTATCCCAATAGAACTAGGCCTATATTAAATATGAATAGATATTGCAAAACATAACAATTAATCCTCTATTGTGGTTTCCATTTCATAATTCAACTTTTTAAACCTAGTTTTAATTTGTACTGCTCAATTTCGGAATTTTGGGGGAGGGGTTTGACTCTCTAACTCTAACCCCCCTCCCTGCCTACGGCCTTGTAAAACGGGACTACACTGTATTGAAAATATAACTAACAATTGATAATTTAATAGTAAAAAATCCACGGCAATAATGAGTAGATAACCAAACGGTAAGGCCTGACAATGATTGAATTGTATAATTTAAACACCCACGGCAATAACGAATAGAAAACCAAACCATGAGGGTAAGGCTTGACTAATTGTATTTTATATTAAAACATCCACGGTAATATGAGTAGAAAACCATACCATGAGGATAAGGCCTAACTTTAATTGTACTGTTTGAATGTGAAATCCATCCTCCTTTCTTTCTGCCCGGCGAAGTGATCTATTACTTTTTCGTTGAAGTTTAAAGTTGACAACAGCTTTTTTTCGATAGAACACATAGCAAGCGCACTTAGTCTGTCTTGTTTCATGGTACTCCTGGTAAACGTTTTAATTCGTTTCAAAGTAGAGAAACAACGTTCACTTTCCGAAGTAGTCATAGGTATTGTGCTTATGATTTTTAAAAGTTTGATTGACTCTGGAAGCACATCTTTGAGGTTGTTGTCATAGACAAAGTTGAGTAGTCTTAATGACCCTGTGGCCGTTGAAAAATCATCCCTATTGTAAATAACATTTAACTCCTGTTTCAATTCAGTTTTATTTAGGCTAAATAGTTCCGCAGCAGTGTGTAACTCTTTTTCGGGAAACTTGGTTTTAAACTCCCCAAACAAACTTGGCTGAAACAGTTTTGCCGCGGACAAATGATTTACAAACGTAAAACGGTCATCAATTCCCGACGTAATTATGTCACACACTTCCTTTGCGACAACGCGTTTTTGATCGTCGTATCTTCTCCGCTTTTTGCTCGATTCGGGTTCACTATCTCTCGGTTGATCTAACATGGTCGAGTTTCTTACGCGATCTACCACAGTTTTGAAATCGCCTACAAACTTAAACGCCTTGACGCAATCAATTGTTGTTTGCTGCAGTTGGTTGTACAGAATGTCACTGTGGGGCAGTATTTGATTGAAAAAGTCCAGCCAGAAAATGAAGTCTTCGTCTTTTAGAATACTTCTTAGGCCAACAGCTTTATTTATTGTGGCATAGTCATTGGTGTCATCGTCGAGTATGTAACTTAAACATTCCTCCAACTCTCTTTGATAATTAAAAATTGTGCTTACAATTCTGGATTTAAAATTCCACCGAGTACCTGAGCTTTTTGGAATACGACGTTTTACTATCTCATCGAGAACTGCAGTTCTCTTTGTTGACTGGGAAAAGAATGATGAAAACCCCTCGATATTACTGAAGAATATCTTAACCTGCTTATTTTGTGTAGCACTGCGTTCAATGATTAAGTTTAATTGATGTGCGTAACAGTGGACAAAATTTGCATTCTTATATTTAGATTTTACACGCGCTTGTACTCCCGTGTGTTGGCCACTCATTACGGAAGCCCCATCGTAGCTCTGGGCAATGACTTTATCAGGAGTTTTGTCGAGGTTTAATTGCTCTAATACTTCAAAAATTGTTTCGCTAACTGATTCTGCATCATGGCCTTTTGGTCTAATAAAAGTGATAAATCGCTCGTGAATCGTGCCATTCAGCTCGTACCTAATAACAAATACTAGTTGGGACAAAGTGGCACAGTCTGTTGTTTCGTCGGCTTCAATAGCTACATAGTCGGTTTGTGTCAATTCGTCACGAATCATTTGCAGACAAACGTAATATATTGAGTCCAATAACTCGTTCTGTATGGTTTTAGACAGACCCAAAAACACTCGGTTATTTGTTTGATTTATGTGCTGTTGCAATGTTACATCCAGCTCCGCCATAAGGTTAACCAAACCACGAAATATGCCAGGATTTTTTGAATTTTCGCGTTCATCATGTCCTCGTAATGCTAATTCAAACGCTCCACAAAATTTAATTGCATCAATTAGCTTACTTAGAATGTATCGATTTTTCGAAACATCTTCATTTTGTTTTTGTATTTTTAACCTATATGCATTGTCCAATTGGCATCTAATATCAACTTTACCTAAAACAGCATATTCTATTGACGCATTTATGTGCTTTTCACTTGTTTTGTGTTTTTTTACTTTTTCCAGTAGATGTTTAAGGTCTGAAATCCCGTCTACAGTCCATGCTCTATCTTGAACCCCCATGACCAAACAAGTGTAGCAGAAAAATGAATTTTTAATTGAACAGCCACATAGCCAATCTGCATGATTGTACATATGTGGCGAAAATTTTCGTGTGAAGCTATTCTTATTCTTTGAACTGTTTTGAATTTGGTTTATGTTCATGAAAGGTCTAGGAGGTCCTAATTTTTTCAAAGAAATTCTGTGGTCAATATTTTTGATCCCTTCATTGATAATCAGGCTAACTTCATTAGTGACGTTAGCCGTCGACGACAACGAAATGCCGCCGTCCATTATTATTTAGATTTAGGCCTTCAACCCACGGCAAATTTACCCGTAATAACTTATTAAGACTAATAATAAGTAACTATAACTAAAGTTGTCCGAGTCACTTTACCTATGGTTAGTTTACTTCGTTTTCGGGTTGATTAGGTTAGCCTATACTAAAACTACAGACGTAACTTATTGACTCAAAAATACCAACTAACTAACTCAATCAATTAAGTATAACTATTAATAATTTCTACTTAGCTCTTTCAATCTTCAAAAAACTACCGCTGCCTTCCTTAGGCCTCCATCACTATCACTA